AAATTTAAATGATAAATTAAATTAAATTAAATTTGTAATAAAATTAAATGATACTTATATATAATATATTATTAAAGTATAATTTTGAAAATAAAATATTTTTTATTAAATAGCTATATATGATTTGTATTTAATTATTTTAATTATTTTTATACTATTTAATATTTTTTAAAATCTTTTATAAATATATAGATTTACTTAATTATTATATTATTTATTATTTATTATTTAACTACAATTTTTTTATATTTATTTATATTTTATTTTAATTATTTTTTTCGTTTAACATAATAAGTTATTTAAATTAATTTTTTCGTTTAATTTTATATAATTTAGTTTATTATATTTGAATTATCATAACTTTATATTTTAATAATTTAATTTAATATAATTTATATATTCTAAATTTAATTGCACTTATCCATAACAACGTCCATATATATCAAAAATTCCTAGTTCTAGCACTCAACCTTGAGTGGTGTAGTAGTTGCATTGCTTGTCTTGCTCTCATGAGTGGTATAGTAGTAGAGGGGGAAAACGCGCAAATTTAGTATAATATACGAGATTTGGTGTATTAAACCCGATAATATTTAAATGCACGCCTTAGTCTATTGAATAAGAAATCACTTTTTTTTTTTAAAATAATAGTAATTATTAATTAAGAACTACTAGATAACATTCTATAAGGCGCTAACTCATAAATAAATACAGAATTTAATTTTCACGAAATAATAAAATTTAAGAATTTGTAGAGTTAAATATAATGTATTAGAAAAATATAAAGGTAATGATGAAGCTAATATGCTATATAAAATGTGTAACCCATGACAACTGATTTAAAAACACATTACCGTACCGTTATACAACCTATTGGTTCGGATCTAAGTACACACATAAATTAAAATATCGGATCATATCGATTTGTACCGAAATTGAACATAAAATACCGAATAAAATACCTGTCGACAAAGAACTAAAAATAAAAGTGATGATATTATTATCATAATATATCAAAACCTGAAATTGGTAGTTTTATTTTTATCTCATTGATAGGTTGAGATTTAGTAAATATTTTTATATATTATTTTATGTTTTTTATATGTAATACATCGTCAATACCATTGATATTACTAGGTGTACTGATTGCTAGGTCAGTATCACTATCAATAAAACCTGCTCCAAAAAACTAATTAAGTTACATTTTATCTTCCAGTCAATCATATGTTAATTTATTGAATTATGTTCTCTCTCAAAATTTATTCCAGTTATATACTTGTCTAATGGAATAAACACAAAACTTCAACCAAATAACCTTTGGTCTATTTTTTTTTTTCGTAGAAAAAACCTTGGACCCCATGTATTATATATAATCACTTTAAAATTACGTTTTTAGCCTCACATGAGAACCTCTATAAAAAGCCAATGGCTTATAGCTAGCTGTGTATCTCAAATTATCATGAAGTTCCAAAGTTTGGCTGCCATGGCTGTTGCACTGCCTTTTCTCCTTATAGCTCTTTCTCTGGATTTTGCAGGTCAGTTTCCTTTAATCTCTTGGTTAAAAGAGTAGCTAATCAACCAACTCATTCCATCAAAAAAAATATATATGAAAAAGTAAAATATTAATTTCAGTAAAAATTCTAACGGAGATCAAGGCTAAATATTCATTAAAATTAAATTATTCGGCAATTTTAGTTGACATTTTAATTTAAATTTGATCATTTTGTACTCTTTGTATGAACTTCCGTTGGAATACATAATTTCCATTGAAAAGTTTCTATGACGATGGAATAGTTAAAACCTAGCAAGAATTCGATTGAAAACTAATTCCAACAAAATATTTTCGTTGGAATTTTCGTTGTAAAATTTCAATTGGCGTAACAACATTAGAAGAATTGCCATTGTCATCGTTGAAATTCAGTTGAAATATATTTCCGTCAGAATTTCATCTCACAATGTTAGTAAATTAATTCAACCATGCATACATGCATGAGCACACACTTTGCGCTCCGATTCGTTCTAACCGTCCGATCTTTCGATCGAATCCCGGTTAATGCAGTCGCCCAGATCGGCATCGCGTACGGGCGGAACGGGATGGGACTACCGCTCCCGCCCCGAGTTGTGGAGATACTCAAGCAAAACAACATCCGACGGGTGCGGATCTACGACACCGACCACCCGACCCTCGACGCCCTCCGAGGCTCCGGCATCGAAGTCACCGTCGGCATCCTCAACCAAGATCTCGGCCCCCTCGCCTCTGACCCGAACGCCGCCGCCAGCTGGGTCCGCGACAACATACAACCGTACCACCCAGACGTCACGTTCCGCCACGTCGTCGTCGGGAACGAGGTCATGCCCGGGAACCCGGACACCCAAATGTTCGTCCCGCTCGTCCTCCCGGCCATGCGCAACATACACGACGCCTTGTCAGCCGTGCCCGGCTTGCGCGACGCCGGCGTCAAGGTCACCACGGCCGTCGGCACGGAGGTCGTGGACCCCGCCTCGAACTTCCCGCCGGAGAACGGGAGGTTCCGAGATGAGGTGGCGCCGTACCTCGACCCGATCGTCGGGTTCTTGTCAGACACGGGCGGCCCGCTCTTCGCCAGCGTGTACCCTTACTTCGCCTACGTGGCGGACCAAAGGGGCGCGAGGGTAATCGACATTCGGTACGCTCGGCTCGACCCGGATTTCCCGGGGGTTACGACAGTGTACGGGAACACGTACAAGAATTTGTTTTACGCGCTACTCGATGCGGTGAATGCGGCCGTGGACAAGAGCGTTGGGAAGATGGTGAGAACGGATGCCGGAAATCGGCAGCCGCCGGACGTTGTTTCAGGGGAGAGCGGAAACCCGACTCCTCCAGGCCGTGGAGGCCGGACCGTGGGAAAGAATTCCGGCGATGAGGTGGCGGCAGAAGCTGTCGAGGGAGGGGATATGGGGACCACCGAGAACGCGGCTCGATACATAAACAACTTGATACAGGCGGTGAAGAGCGGGACGCCGCTAAGGCCCGGAAGGCCTATAGAGACATACATTTTCGCTATGTTTGACGAGAGCGATAAGCCCGGGGATGATGCCGAGAGGAATTTCGGGATCTTTAAGCCTGACGGTGAGACCAAGTACCCAATCAATTTCAACTGAAGGCTGCCATTGTCCATTGATGGGTTCTGTTATAAGTATGCTAGCTATCACAATGTAATGAATAAGTGAAGTGATTGTAACAAACATTTGGAATTAATAAGGAAAGTTATATATTGATGATGGGGCACAAGTGAGCTTTTTATAGAGTTGGCTAGTGTCGGCAAAAATTAAACAGTTTGAGTTTGTGTGTAGTGGTAATGAGATGATTAGATTAATAAATACTCACCCACTCAAATCCTCATCCTATTTTTTAGTAAATACACCCGTTTTGAAATTTACATACCGCTATACATTTAATATAAATCATCGTATTTTGAAGGCATTTGCCCGTAAAAACATAGACATTAATGGAGAATTTCGTTTTAAGAGCCCAATTTCGCCTTTATTCCAATTCGAATATGAACATACCTTGTATGCTTACTTACCTCATCCTAGCCATCTTGTTACCACCAAATAGTCACACACACATTCTGGTCTTTTTATCAAATGATCAATGATACCTCAACAACCTCATTATCTCTATTCAATGAATGCTGTCAAACTGCTAAAATGTAAAATCAACTCCTTGATTACTCAGTTAATGTCAGAATCTAATCACACTGTTCGAAGGAAAAACAAATCATATCACTATACGTAGTTCCTTAAAGAAACCAAAAGTACCTTTCATCTACCTATATATGCATGAGATTGCAAAATAAAAGGAGAAAAATTCAAAATTAGAAAAGCCACGAACATACGATCCAAACACTGTCAATCAAAAAATATATCTTTNCAAAATAGCCTCTTCGTACGAACGACACATCATTCTCGATTCACAATATGATTTTTATAAACCAACTATGCGTAAATGGCACACAAAATACCCCATAGCACACACCAAAGGCAATTACACAAAACAAAGTTTCCACATAACTCCCACGTTTAACTTTTAAGAAGTAGCTTTTACTGTTTTACATACTAATGAAATTATTGGACAACATAAGGCATGACCTTGTACCGGTAGAGCAGCTTCTTCTTCTTGCTAGTCGGGTTATCAACGGTGAGCAGTATCTTGCCAAGCTCGCTAATGCTGAAACTGTTGGACACAACAGGCTCGTCAGTGGGGAGCATTTTCCTCGACTTTTGTATGATCACAGTGTAGGCACGTTCAGCGTTCGGGACATATTCTGCACTGTAGCTCACTTCCCAGCCCACCACACGAAGCTCCCAGACGAGCGTGCATTTCTGATTAAATAAATGAAAACAATAATTGTTCACTGGCAAGGCACACTCAATCGAGCTAAATTTACTTTGTTAGTCTCGTAATTCCCAAGCATTAGTGATTATTCTAGCCTTCTTATATTCTAGGATGAAAAATGTTGATTTTGCCCATTAGTCGTTGGAAATAGGAACTCATTATAGCCATGTAACTTTTGAAAAACAGTTTTGAACAATTTTGGCATTTAGGCATAATTGGAGAAATTAAAACATAGTGGTTTGGACCAAAGAACCGAAAATTTGCTAATGTGCATACTTAGAAGCTAATTTCTAGGGCATATAAGGAGTAAAATTTTGCAGCTATTGCTCAATCAATGAAGGTAAAGCAAAACATAACAAACCTCATTTACTATAATTTCAACTGTTTGTTTAGTAGCAGGTTTAACAGTGATCTCCATGGCTGGATCATCCACGGTAAATTCTGGGTTGCATTCACAGTAATCAACACTGAGACCACCATATTGAGTCGGCACTTGTTCGGCCAATATGTACCTATTTGACCAATAAAGAAAAAAATTATAAAAAAAAACTAGGTTGTGTTATAAAAGGAAAAACATATGATTATTATGGAAATATTAATCGAACTACACACTTGAAAAGGGTTTCAGGAGTCTTTGTTGGGCCAGAGAATACAAATTTACTCTTGGTCCGTTGAGTAAGAAATGGACTCATCATAGTATAGAAAGCCAGGTACCACCATGGAACATTGACGAAAACCTGTAAGGTCGAATGTAAAAAAAAAAATAAAAAAAAAACAATGCATAAATAGAAAATTCAGAAAAGGCCCTCAAAGATTCCGGCGCAAATATGCCTATATATGTTCGGTTATTCACAACCTTCGCTGATCAGGTTTCTGCACACTAATCAGCACACAAACACACACATATGGAAATTTTCAATATTTATCAAATGATCTTTACCAAAGGCCCCTCAGGTCAATTTGAATACATAAATGCTACAAAGAACACAAACAGCAGGTACTATTATCTCCCCATAAGCTTCCATTTCCAGAGCATTTATAAAGGCAGACAAAGAATTTCTAAAGAATGTGAGGTAACTTCATTTGCATAGAAAAAGATACTTCTTTTGCTCAACATATGCAAACTCTGCACACAGAGAATGAATTTACAGAAACAAAGACATTGGAAAAATTAAGATCAATGCATCAAACATAAACTCAAGATAAATGCAATAGTATCATATTATTCTACCTGCTTCGCGACAAACTCAGGGTAATTATCCTGCAGAATCTGCAATGCCTGTTTAGTAGCGATCCTTAGTTCCCTTTTCCCGAGCCCGGGAGAATTCTTGAGGTCACTAATCTGAAAGATAGTATTAATCCCACCAGGACTGAAGTCCAACTTCCTTATACTCCTCTCCAGAAACTGAATCCTCCACCTCAAAAATTTGGTTCTTTTCTCCTCATCCCCGAATGTCCGAGCATATAATTCTTTGTTCTGAAACTCCCCATACACATTGTAACACACCGGGTGCCCTTCTTTGTCGTGACCGTGCATAAAGACTACTTTTTCAAGATCGTCCCCCAAATCCTCCTTAATTAGTTCATCCACATTGAAGTCCCTCCTCCATTTCATGGTGTTTTTTAGCATGGAAAATGATTCCTTCACTTTGAAATCGCGGGCTCGTAGGAATTTGAGCAGGATGACATCGCTCCTGTCGTCACTCAAAAGGGGCACTCCCCAAATCGATACTTCTTCGGGATGTTTGGAGGGTTCGGAGGTGGACCCGTAGCTAAAGACTCCATTTTTAAGTGCTTCTTGAACTAGGAGCTTGAAGTCTTCCAGAGCTTTCAGCTCGGGATGGGACAGATCTGAGATCTTGTTGCTCTCCTCCTTAAAAGAAGCGAATGATTCCGGCGCTTTAAGCTTTTCTGCTGTCTGTTTCTCCTTTTCCGGCAACACTACCTCTTTGGGTTCGATTTTCGGGGATTCGGATTCCTGCGGCACCGCCAGAGCCGCTGCTAGCGGCTGGGAAACGGCGGCGGCGGAGACGGTGACGAGCTCGGCCGCGAGCGGTGGCTCGGGCGGCGGGGGATCCAGAGGGGTGTCTTTTTCGACCACCGTCACGGCCTCTTTCAGCTTGTCCTCGACCACCGGCGGGGGAGAGTCCTGCTGCAGGTCCAGCGGCACCGAAGCTAGGGGCGGTTCGGGGAGGGATTCCGGTTCGACCGACGGCGGGGGAGGGAGCTCGTTGAAGGGCTCCGGTTCTTGGAGCGGCGGCCCTTCGGTTTGCTCCACCGAGGCCGGCGGCTGGGGCTGTGTGGATGCGGCGGTTTCATCGGCCATACTTTTTTTTTTTAATCTGGGTTTGTCTGGTTTCAGGAACTTTGGACTGAGGTTTTTTCTCTTTTCTTGGTTCTTAATAATGGACTGATAACGACGAGGGGGACCAAAAGGCCTTTGTGTTCCAATTTATTTTCAGTTTATGCTTATGCCGCGTTTGGCATGCCATGAAATGAGAGAGAAACTAGTCGAGTCGAACAACTGCTCATACTCAAGTATGAACCTTTATGCAAATTGAGTTAATTAAACCTTTTTATAAACAAGCTTGATATCAACACGTTTATCATCAATTGCAACGAGCCGAATACGTAACTTAAATAGTTAAACTCCAACATTAAAAATTAGAATTATAAATCACTACATAATAAAAAAAAAAAACTTTTTTTATAGCCAATCACGGTATTCAGAGCTATGTCCCGACTAATCCGTTATTCGACCGGGATCGAACACTTAGCAGTGGTGGGTAAGTCCTAAGCAACTCGTTTCATTTAAAACTAAAATTAATATTGCATGGAAAATTAAATGATGAAGTCAAAAGTACTCAATGCTCTCACTCATGTAAATTAAAATGAAGTCAAAACAAAGATGAATTATTACTGAAATTAATTAGTATGTGCCATTAAGGCATTATGAGCCATACAACTCAAAGTCTTGTGCACAAAAATGTTAGTACAACGTTGGAACTGATGGTATTTCCATATTTTTTTATTTTTTTTTTGAGTTTTGACAAACCATTTTGTATATCAATGAAGTAAAAGTAAAATAATGAAAACCTTTTCAGAATAACTTTGTTACACATTAGTTTCTGTTGTGGTAGTGGGGTTTTCCATTTGTCTTCCACTATGCTTATACACAGACAGTCAAACACACCTTTAGAGAGGGTGAGATTTTATCCGACTATTTATATATTTGATAATTTTAAACAATATTTATCTTTTAAGACAAAGACAAAGATAGAGAGAGAGGATCACGCGGACAGTGAGGTATCTCGTGTTTACGGCTGACACAAGTGTGGTTAAAAGGGAATCCTAGGCCATCAATATTTATTTATCCATTCATTAAAAGAAAAAAAAAAACATTAGTGATTTAAATTTGGGATTAATTTGACTCTGACTTGTTTGTAAATTGACTAAAATACGGGTTGAACTTGTTAATATTAATAAGTGACCTGTGTTTTTATAAGTTTGCTTAGTTAATCGTTCGATTCAATTTGATAATGATTCTGAATCCAGCTCGACTCGTTTATCCATACATACATTTTATCAATGATGATAGGCATGAGATCTTGAGTTGAAATTTTGTTTTCATAAGTAGTGATTTCAATATTAGCACTTTTGACTTTATGTGTTTCATTATCATGCTTGTTTTGATACCATCTTTCATTTTATTCAAGTAACATATTCATGCGTTGGGAATTCTCACCTACTTTTAGCCATAGGGTTTTGAATTTTTGATTTTGAGCTGGATTCCACTTTTGGAAAAGCTCGTGCGTTACTTTTTGGCCTGTGTATTGCTGCATAGCCCTTTATTAGTCCAACTGTTAAGATCAAACCATTAGGGGCCCAATTATACTTGTTGGGCTGTATTGTAGTGAGACAAATAAAGGCAAAAGATGGTGAATTTGTTACAAAATATATAATTTTTTCAGTCAACTAATCACTGATACTAAAGAGCCTGACCCAGTATAATTGGGCCTATTAATGGCTTACGGCCCAACAAACTAAAACTCCGAACGAAAAAATAATAAATAAAGAAATGGAGGAGACAAACCGGAACCCAGACGCGAAAATTGTAGCTGTGAGAGAAAAAATGGCCGACGAGAGCAAAGCTGAGATTCCGGCGAAGCACGATTTGAATGAGAAGTGGGACGCCTGCCTCGATTTAGGTCTCCGCCGCTTTTCGTATGCTTCGATCGCCGGCGGTTTTGCTGGAATTCTTCTCTTCCGTGAGTGTTTATATCTCCATATCCTCAACCCACTAAGTGCTACTTTGGTTGCCATAATTTTGGTATTTAGAATTCGATTTGTTCATCCGAGAATTGGATTGTTTATCTCAAGTTATGTTGATGGATTAGATTGGGGATGTTTTGGTTAGGTTTTTTGTGAATATGCATAATCAGTCTATAATTTGCTACATAGAAGATGCATTTGTTACAATATAAGCTGATTGAGTTAGTAGTTGAGCTTCGATATCAGACTGGATTTGTACGAATTGATCTGATTTAGGTTTTCGTGAATATGCATAATCAATTTGTAATTTGCTACATAGAAGTTGCATTTGGTACAATATGAGCTGATTGAGTTAGTATTTGAGTTTCGATATCAAACTGGATTTGTACGATTTGATCTAATTTTTGAGTCGGTTTGATTTGGTACTGAGCTTTTGAATGGATGTTTGTGTTATACGGATCGATTTGCTCAATTAGCTTTGTGAATTGTTTGCTTCAGGAAGTCCTGTGACACGCTGGGCTTCTGTAGCTTTTGGTGCTGGATTGGGGATTGGGTCTGCGTACTCAGAGTGCTCTCGTAAATTGGAGGAATGCCCGAAAAAGTATACTCTGTAATTTTTGTGACAACTGTCTCCCCAAGGTAAAAATTTGGGATTGATGCTTCGCCTTTTTCCCCAGTTGGAAATGTTTAGCTTGCCGCTATTGTCACTATTTTGTCTGATCACCTATTATGTGTCTTTCATTTGGAGAGATGAGTTTTTTGGTCATTTAGAATTTTGATCTGTATGAGTTGGCAATTATATGTTCTATCCAAGAACTACGATGATATATTCTAAAGTGAAATTAACAAGATTGGTGGAACACTATTGCTTTAGTTTAGCAAAACCCGTTTTTCTGGTTACCAATAATGTTTGATTTATGCACTTGTAGACTTGTGGCTATGCACTTGCCTTTGATAGATTTAGCTTAAATTGTAGTGTGCAAGATGTCAAAATCTGTCGTGGATTTTAGGAAGATGTTCCCATTGCTTGCAATTTCTCGAGGGAATTCCATCCACATATCGAATATTGACATTTTGCATTTTGTTGCTAAAATATCATTTGAGCGAACTTTTCATTTTCAGTTCTGTCTTGTAACTTGTAAGCAAGCGTACTATTATTATTATTATTATTATTATTATTATTATCATCATTATTATTATTATTATTATTATTTGGTGACGTAATTATGTTCACTGGTTCATGTAACTTTCAGGAATAAAACAATTTCACAATATATTTATACCTACATAATATATATATATATATATATATATATATTTATACATACATACATACATACATACATATATATAGCTTATAAAGGGATTACTTAAAGTGTCCACAGTACCAACCGGCCGTATAAGGTATTACATTGAGTAAGAACAATACAAAGGCCCTGATGTTAAGATAAATTGCATTCATATGCTCTATAGTTCAATGTGGTGTCAAGCCAACACACACATATGCATACCTCATATTTGTATATATTTTTGGATTAGAAGATACATACATGTGTGCCTGTGTCTATATGTTAATAGATTTTTTTATCAAATTTAATGCAGGTTGTCTAGGTGGAGTGAAGAGGAGTAAAGCCCCATCATATTGGGAAGATTTTTATTCATTTTTGTTATCTCAGATAATGTACTTGCCAAGAAAATTCTGACATTTAATCAAAGCCCCTTATGGCTGATGTATTCATCACTTATACTGATGCTGTCATTTTAATTCTTTATCACATATAGAGAAGGGCTCTACATAAACGCAGAATTTCCCGAATCTATCTGTTAAATTTCCTTGTGTGTCGACTCCTGAAATTACCTTTTTTTTTTTTTTTTGTCNTCCCGGATTTATAAAAGTAAAAATCTGAAAAATGTATGTGAACGATTCTCTGCTATCAATTACTTTTTCATCAAAAGATTATATTTAATTAGAAAACAATGAAGGGAAAAAAATACTGACGAGCAATCAGTTAGTTAGTGTGATAAATTGATGAACAGTAAAAGATAAAATGAGGAGTTAATTAGAAAATACAGTAATGCTAAGGAGATCTTCTTTGTTAGCTTTAGTTAAATGATGAAAATTTGAATACCCCGTAATAAAGGTCAATAATATTATGAAAAAAGTGATGAATATTCAATTTGAGTATAATAAATTAACAATCAACTTACAACCTTGTGCGTAGAACCCAGCAAGAAGGTCCACGGTTACTAAATCAATTCTACAGGCCCATGATATAAAACCCTACTAAGCCTACTTAAACAAAATCCTAACTTATGGCCCAACAAAAAGAAGTTGATCTACTGAACCAGCTTTAAGCCCAGTATAAATAATTGCTAGGGTTTTGCTCCCATTTCTCATGTTCTTGCTGTACCCACACGCACAAGACAGCACACAGTTAGAGCTGCTCTGCTCCAATGGCGCCGAAGCGAACAACCCGCAACCCGGAGCTCATTCCCGGAATCCGTAAGGTCTCCCGCTCGAGGATGTACCACAAGCGCGGTCTCTTTGCGATCAAGGCCAAAAACGGTGGCAAATTCCCCCACCACGAGAAGGCCGCCGCTGCCGCTCCTGTGGCGGAGAAGCCCCCCAAGTTCTACCCGGCGGACGACGTCAAGAAGCCGCTTCTCAACAAGCGGAAGCCTAAACCGACTAAGCTCAGGTGTGCATTTCGAGATCCTTTGATCTCTGTTGATTGATTTCTTTTTATGGCGTGCTGTTTTATGCTAATTGATGATTGAATTATTTGGTTTATGTGTGGTTTTTTGCAGGGCTAGCATTACACCGGGGACGGTGTTGATCATTTTGACTGGGAGGTTCAGGGGGAAGAGAGTTGTCTTCTTGAAGCAGCTCACTTCTGGATTGCTCCTAGTTACTGGTAATTGTCCATTATCTTGTGTTGGTTGGTTGTTGAGTAATTATTACTTTATACTGTTGCATCTGTGAGGAGCTCGTACTGTAATGTTATGATAATTTTTGTGGCATTGTCTCGATGTTTGTGATTTAAGGAGGTATTGTTTGAGAACTTATGGTGATCTAGTGTCCGTTGTTTCTATGCTGACTTCAGGGAGTTAAAACTTTCTGTAATGTATTAACTATTGAGTTGCTCCTATCAAATTTTGATCTTGATACTTTTTCAAAAGTTGGATCTTGATTAATGGTTTAGTAATTTCATTTGTACACCTATGAAATTTATTGTCTTTAGTCTGTTTACATGGTCAGCCTTCTTCACTTCAGTGTTTGTTTTAGTGTCTGGTGGCTTGTGATTTGCTGTAATGGATAAACTTTGAGTTGTTAAATAATGCTCAAATGATAGTATAATTTAAACTTTTGAACACTGTAACGACCAATTTAAATGGCTTATGGTGTGATTCACTATATTGATTATCTATTTGCTTTATTGACGATCCATTGTTTTGGGGCGAGAAATTAATTCTCGTATGGACCAAGTTATTATCAGTCGTCAAACATAGAGTTCCCTCTGTTGATGATGTGGTTAAGTTTGTCTTGAACAGCTTCCACTTCTCCGGAGGGTGTGTTCTCATATCCTATCGCCTTGTGGAGCAGGTTTCTGCTATAACCTCTTGGGACTAGCCATGAGAACTACATTTGTGGATGGATAATATTTGTCATTAATTAATTCCACTCTTAATTTTATGTTCTAAATTTGTCCACTAAAGATATTAGTTAGTATTGAATTTTACTATTAAATCTAAATGGTCCCATAACAGGTCCATACAAGATCAACGGTGTTCCTCTGAGGCGTGTGAACCAGGCCTATGTTATTGGTACCTCCACAAAGGTTGACATTTCTGGAGTAAATGTGGACAAGTTTGACGACAAGTATTTCGCCAAACAGGTCGAGAAAAAGAAAAAGAAGGGGGAAACCGAGTTCTTTGAAGCTGATAAACAGGTTGGTTTTTTTCAATTGGGTGCCATCTGTTATATATATATATATAATGATAATGAACTTTTCCTCCTCCTAATGTTATATAATGGTTTTGGATGTAGGAAAAGAATGAACTCCCAGCAGAGAAGAAAGAAGATCAGAAAGCTGTTGATGCACCTTTGCTAAGGGCGGTTGAGGCTGTTCCTGATTTGAAGACCTATTTGGGTGCAAGATTTTCCCTCAAGTCTGGAATGAAGCCCCATGAATTGGTCTTCTAAATGCAGCATTTTCAAGATGCTTAGATTTTTGATTTTGTTAATTTTATTTGCTTTGTGCCCTCCTTTGAACCTGTTGTGTTAGAGATAAGTGTTGAAGATATGGTTCTTTTGGTACAAACGTCTTAAGTTTTGCCCCTGTTATCGAATGTTTCAGAATCTCTACTTTGTTTGATATGATGGTTGATTTGGTTTAATTCTATATATTCTTGTTGGGTTTTTTCGCTAATATTGTCTTGATTGCCTTCTTAATTCAGTTGAAGCAGTACTGTGACATACATTTACTAATAGCACAATAGATTTGAAAAAAACTAAAAATTGAGTGCAACTGACATAACCATTTACTAATAGCACAATAGATTTGAAAAACCTAACTTGAATTATTGAGCAGCTATATAAATTTTTGGATTAAAAGTATGAGTGCAACTGACGTAGCCAAACTAAGCTGATTGCATAATATAACTAGTAAATATCCTGTGCATATGCACAGATGTACATAAAATATTAAGTAATATTTGAGAATTTAATATTAAAATTTTAGATAATGAACATATTATATTTTTTAAATTTAATCATTAGGAAAAATAAATTAATGATTGTTTATTATCATTAGATAATAGCAGTTTGATTATAATTATTATTATTATTATTACAAAAACAAACGTTTATAAGATTCTAAAGTTGTTTGACTATGCTATTAAAACAATTTACTAATTGTTTTTAAAGAAATTTTTTCATGAGATACAAAAGAAAAAGATAATATTGATGTTAAAATAAATAACTTGAAACAATTGTTTATAATTATGCAATTTATATTTATTGTGAATTATTATTAGTTGGTATTAGCATTAATTATTATGTAATATAATAGAAAAATACATGATTATACTTAATAGGATGTATTAATGTGAAAAGTAAAAAAACATTAATGATAAATTTTGTAACCGAAAATGGAGGGAAAATTTTAGAGGTTTTATTAAATGCTATTAGCTACTAATTATATATATATAGATTAGACATGGCCACGGGCCGAACCGGCCCGTGGCCCGAACCGTGAACCGGTATCGGCCCGGACCAAACCGGCACCGGTACCGGCATGAACAGTACACGGGCCGTGAACCGGACCGGGCCCAAAGCGGTCCGGTTACGGTTCAATGGTTTTCATTAACCGGTCCCGGCCCTCCGGTTTTCCGACGGGTCGTAGTTCTTTTTTTTTTTTTTTTTTTACCCGGCGGTTCAACGAACCGCCGGGCCGGGCCGGTTCAAATGAACCGGCCCATAGGAATTGCTGGGCCGGTTACGGGTCCAACAATTGAGGCCCGCCGACCCGGCGGGCCAGGCCGGGCCAGGCCCGGACCCGGCACCGGCACCTGGCCATGTCTAAATATAATATCACAAAATTTCAAACAACCCCATAACATGCACTCTTAAATTAGATCAAATCAAGGAAAAAACAATTGGTTTCATTAAAACAAGAACTAATGTAAAAGGCATTAATCTCAATTGTATCCTGCCAACTTTTTATCAAATGATGTAAAATAGTCTTTAGAGTATCCTTCCGAAATTTTATCAAGCCTTGGAGGTCAACATTTTTGCTGGTCTATTCTTGCCTTGGCCCTTTCTTTGTTTTTGGCCACTGAACTTATGGAACTCAGCTTTATCTCGCACGCTAATATCTTCATATGAGATTGGCTTGATTATAACACCAGGCCTCGTAACCACCTGGTCGACAAACAATGAAAAAGATGAGCAATTCACAGTATTGACTTAGTAATTAATAACTGAACGGTATCTAAATAGCATTTACTGGAACTAAAGGGATGACAACAAAGTAGAATTTATAAAACACTGATATATATACATATATATTGTTCAAGAAGTGCGCACCTCTGGCCGGATAAGAGCACCATTGGCCGAGGCAGGGTTAAATTCAGGTCCAATCGGCATCCGGATACTTTGTTCAAAAACTTCCTTTGATGTGTATGGATATGGCAATGTCTTTGTGTGAAGCTTTTCTGCCTGCAAAAACAAAATAAAATTTCAGAGTCACGAACAATTCCCAATACCACCATCGACAAACCAAAAGGACCAGCAAGAATGTAACTTTATATTGAATGAGACGTGCATGGAAAGAATAATGTACTCAGATCCATTTATTAGACACTATTAAATACGCCAATTTATTGGAAATACAAATATTAAAACTCACCTTTTTATCCAACTTCTCTGAAATGATGACATGGTTAAGTCGTGCATCCTTCCTCTTCTTGAGAGCCTCCATCCTTTTATTTTTCGCTGTCTCGTGTTCTTCCACCATCCAAGAAGGCAGTCCTTTCTTTTTCTGTATATGGGTCCACTGGCCCCACCCAGGGAGCAAAACGGGCTTTTCCGGTTCTGGGTTCTCTTCATTTAGAACAGCCTCTTTATCTTTCTCAAAATCATCTTCAACGTCATCTCCAGCAAAAGCACGCTGTATGAGCTCAGCTTGAGACGGAAGCTCGTAACCAGATTTTTGACCCGAAGATAAAATCCCATCCACCATTTCCCCACCACTATCGGAATCACTGTCATCATTTTCCTGCTAACATTTTGGAAGAGAAAAAAAAAATTACACATTTTCAATTTGGGATTATGGGGCGTATTTAATTGCATAAGAAAAAGGCAATACAATACCTCTGTATCACGATCATCTTCGTTTGCTCCAGTTGTTAATTTAGGCTTGCGGGTAGTGTCGCTTTTGTCAAACTGTTTTTTAGCATCATTGTGTGATCGGCTTACCTATTCACATAGGTTGGTTTAATTAATCGAGATCAGTGTTTCTGTTTCTAATAAATAAAATAAAATAAGAAAATCCAAAAGCCAGAAGATAAACCTTTTTCCATGAATCAGAAGCCAGATAAGACACCTCATAGGATGTCTTGGGCTCAGGATCTTCAGCCCCTCCAAAGCTCTGAAAATGAGGGGAATAAGTTAAATAAAACATCAAATCAGAATATAAAGAGCTAGAAATCCAAAGATCACTCAGCATCATTTGTAACAGTAGTAATAATAATAATAACAATAAAAATATCAGAAAATAAGTTAGAACCGTAATAATCTATATTTCTGGAAGCTAACACAAACAATGTATGCCCTAATCCATAATTTAATGAAAGAATTCAGTGAGAGCAAAAAGACTAAAAATCATGAAACCACTAACACCTAAAAGCAATGACCTAATATAAGAGATGAAAATGAAAATGTAGTAATCATTTGCTTTCTGCGAGTATTAGAAACATAGCACAAATATCGGGATTTTAGAATCTCTTGAGGTATGTTTTTGTCAACAAACATACTCAGACTAATAATTCTCCATAGTACAACAGTCATACAAATAATTCTCCATAATACATTTGTTAGTAAAATCACACAGTTTGATCTGAAAGAAACATTTGCAATTAAAAGTTCATCTAAAAATCACATATACATAATTGTCTCTGATTGAAGGCAGGCAGTAAGAGACAACAAGCAAGATTATCACCTTAAATACAGAGTCCTGACCGATGTTCAACTCCTCTCGGAGTACATTAGGGTCTATCTCAACTTCTCTAAGAGATTTATCAGTTTGATTATGTTCGCCAACATCAACATCCTGGATCTCATCTTCATTTTCACTCTCACTGTTTTCATAGAAGTTGTTTATTTTTTCCTTAGTTTTTGTTTCATTAGCCACCACCTTCTTCGGAGCACCAAAAACCATCCTACCACTAGAGGCACTCTTTTCATGTTTTGCTGACACATTTTGACCTTGTAACTGCTTCAATGACGACTCATATTCTTCAAGGGCACACTTAGCTTCCTCATCAGCAGCTTCTCTTCTCTTTTGCATTCCACGAACCTAAATAATAACAATAATAATTAAACATAAGCATAACTTTTTAGAAAATACAACTGATCAGTTTCATCATGAAGTTGATATTAATTCATTTTAATTACCTAGGTATTACGGCAATTCTACCAAACTCATCATACTTGCTCTCAAATTTCAGAGGGGAAATGAATATATAAAAGAATGCACCAAAACACATACCATGAAAGGTAGAGAAAGCACTCCTGACTTGGGTAGTTCTTCATCCCCTTCTAATACTTTAATTGTCTTCTCCTTGGCCTTCGCTATCAGTTTGGACGACATATCCCGATCCGAACCCCCCGACATGTCATCACTGTCATCCCCATCACTGCTTTCATCACTGCTACTGTTTTCTTTCAAAGAATTCATTTTTCTAGTCAAAGCTGCATGTTGATTCAGCTGCTCGCCAAAAGCTTCTCTGGTGGCTTCATCTTGGGCATCAAGACCGCGTTTTAAGATCCGTTTAGCCCATTTGGAGCTGTTTTTGTGTTTTAAAGTCATACGTTCCTGCATGGAAACACGTATTGAAAATATGCAACAAAATAATAAATTTTTTAAACCAGGAATATATCGGGAACTGAAAGTTGTAAGCAAAATTAATATTGAAATTACCTCCGCCCTTTTGAACTCTTGCTTCATCGCCAGTTCCTTAGCAGCCTCTGGGTCCATCTGAATAGCAGCTTCTGCTGCCTTTTTCTTGTCCTTCTTCAACAGCCGGTGGTAAGTTTTGGACTTTATCTTCTTAATCCGTTTTGCCTTTATCTCGTGCCGAAAAAGAAGGCTACGCATCTTGGCAAGCCTTTCCTGCCGATCCTTCACATCTTCAACAGAAATCTGCCGACATATCATCCAGAAAAATATTTCATTTGCATTGTTATCACCAGGAAAGAAACAAATCACCAAATAAACAAATCAAGTTAATCATATATTAACTTTATCTGCATACCTTGTTGAGTTCAAGAAGCTTGGCACCATCGTTCCTGTAAGCATCAGCCACATCCTTTTGGTTAACCAGTGACATGATTTTCTTTTCAAAATCAGTTCTTGGCTCAAACTCGGAAGCAATTTGCCCTATAGTCGAATATCCCATGTTCACTTTTTCATCAAAATACAACGTAGGTGCCTCCCTGTTCCTCTTAACCAGAGGCTCCCACTTGGTAATGTCCTTCTTAGATAGCTCGTAAGCTGCCTTCCGTTCCAATCTCTCTTGATCAGGCTTGGCAAGTCGTGTGAGAGTCGGAACAGACTTTTTCTCCATCCGGTTTACGCTCTTCCTGAGCTTGCTGAAGCCCGACTTTCCGTGCAGAGGGTCCAAAAGGTCTTGAATGCTAATCCGGCCATCACCATCCAGAACATCACTGCTCGGATTGTACTCAGACTCTGGATATGCCTCAGATACTATAAAGTCTTTCTTCTTTTTACCTGGAATTTAGGATTTTCGAGTTAATTCTAGCAAAATGCTTTCAAAAATTATATCTTCAGGACTCTAAAATCCAAAAGGGCACTACACTTAGATAAACACCATTATCAACGCGAAATTAACAGGCAAAGTTGCAGAAAATATACCTCCGAAAGCATCACCGGGTAGTCCAGTAATCTCCTCCAGCATCCTTTGATGCCTTCCGTCCTCTTGATCCTCGTCATCACCTCCTTTGTGTTCATCATCATCATCATCATCCTCGCCATCATCGCCATCACCATCTGATGCGACTTTCCAATCCTGCGAATCAAATACGGCAGCTAAGCAGTGTTAACTTACACACACATTCTGAGTGTGTAAATACACAGATACAAACCTCAAAATCCTTAGGAAGCTCAAACTGGTAGTTTTCAACACGGTCGAACCGCCTGTTCTTCATCGACTCCTCCTCCGGCACACCTTCTTCATACTCATACACGTCGCCGACGATGGCATCGTCGTCGGAGCCAATCTCCTCATCACCATCCGACGGCTCTCCTTCCCCAGCGCGGCTCAAAAGACTGAGCTCCTTCTGCAGAGCGTTCGGCAGGCGGGGTCCGCGTTTGGGTCTCTTCCCGTTAGCTTCCTCCTTTCTGTTCTTCTTCTTCTTACTCGAGCTGAAACTCTTTCGCTTCTTGTTCCGAAAATCTCCATCTGTTTTTCGGCTCCGAGTGATTTCATCCCTCGACTTTCCCTTCTTCTCCACCATTGTTGTAGCAGGTTCTGATTCAAAAATTTCCTTTCTTTTTCAGCTACGCAGTAGGAAAATTTGACGGCAACTCAAATATAACGAACCAATAATTAGTTTCGGCTGTTTCCGTCAAAGATTTTCTCTTTTTTACACCGGCGTATGAGCCCGATAGTGTCTCGAGCGCCGGCAGACGGGAGCTTAGGTTGGAGATGGCGGAAGAGAGAGAGTGAAAGGGAATGAAGCTGAAAAAGTAGGCCTGTTATTGGACCGATGAAGTCTAAATGAAAACCCTATGCCCGGAAAAATAGTTACAGGCCGAGGCCCATATATATATTGGGCATTCTCAACTAATGAGCTCTTGTGTCTGAGTCTCTATTTTTACATTTTGGTTACTACTAGTAGGTAGTTTATCAAAAAATTTATGGAGTTATCCATCACTTAATGTGTTGACACTTGTCCAAATTGTATTTATTGTAAAACACGTGTCAATATATTATTGGTGAATATGTGTGAATGACTCCATAAGTCGAGCTATCCGATGACTCCATAGCAAAACTGTATAATATAATACCACTTGTGAGTTGTCCTACATCGTTTATACAGAAAAAATAGGCCCAACTTATAAGACTAGTAGGCTACTCCTCCTTTCAGCAATTGGTTTTGGGGTGGAACCTCACTTGGGCTCATCTGAGATTTTCCTAATATGATGCGCTTCACGTGCGTGGGACCGCACCTGTTTTCTACTCGTTTCTTACATGGTATAAAAGTTGGTTCTATTGAGAACGTGCGATGACGTACCCGTTTCCCAGCCCAGTTGGGCTTGGGCACCCGGCTCTGTAAATGGGCTTGGGTTCGTATGAAGGACTCACAAGTGAGAGGGCATATTAGAATATAATACCACTTGTGAGTTGCCGGTTCTATTGAGACCGTACGATGATGTACTTGTTTTCTCAGCCCAGTTGGGCTTGGGCACCCGCTCCGTATATGGGCTTGATGTTCGTATGAAGGATTCACAAGTGAGGGAGCGTATTAGAATATAATACCACTTGTGAGATGACGTACCCGTTGCTAAGCCGAGTTGGGCTTGGGCACCCGGCTCTGTATATGGGCTTGAGGTTTGTATGAAGGACTCACAAGTGAGTGACATATTAGAATATAATACAACTTGTGAGATAACATACCCGTTTCCCAGTCTGGTTAGGCTTGGGCACCCGACTCCGTATATGGGCTTGTGGTTCGTATGAAGAACTCACAAGTAAGGGGTCGTAGTATAATATAATACCACTTGTGAGTTGTCGCTTGGGGTTCGTATGAATGACTCACAAGTGAGGGAGCGTATTAGAATATAATACCACTTGTGAGTTGTCCCACATTGTTTATATAGGAAAAATAGACTCAATTTATAAGACTAGTAGGCTACTCATCCTTTCACCAATTGGTTTGATGTAAATAATTGGAAGTGATGTGTAGTTAAAATTATGTGAGTGGATGGATAGTGATTAAGGTTGATATGATGTGTAAGGATGGTTGGTTGGTATTATTTAATTATGTTGATAATATTGGGATAGTGAAATTTGAGATAAATTTGAGTTAAATTTGTCTTGAGATTGAGTTTTTTTTGGAAAAAAACTTGTATCCAAGCATGGGAGATGAAATAAAAAACTTATCTCCAAACGAACCCCTGAAGCTCCTTAAATTCACCGTATGAGGCCCAAACTTTTCCTCTATTTACATTTACACCCCCAGCGGCAATACTTCGATGCTAAGTCTTGCGATGCCCAATTTGCAAATGGACACCGTTATAGCTTAGCCCAGTAACAGAGCATACATAGGAAGAAGGAGAGAGATACACATATATAGAGAGAGAAACGCACAGGAAATTTGTGATTTGAAGGGAGAAAAAGAGATGGATGGGCCGCCGGAAAATGACGTCTGCTCGATATGCCATGCGAGCTTTCACATCCCTTGCCAAGCCAATTGCAGCCATTGGTTTTGCGGTGAGCTTATTGCTTGCCCAGAACGCGATAATTCATGGGGTTTCCCTAGATTTCCACAGATAGCTTTAATCCATGGGCATTTTTTTTTTTTTTTTTTTTTNAGAAACTGACGTTTCATATTGGAGTTATGTGCTTTGGCTGTTGATTTTTCGTCGTGATTGGTGACTAGGTTTATTCGCTTGCTTCCTGGATTTGTTTTTGGGTGAAACAAAAATGGCATCTTTTATCGGATTTGGCTTTATTTTTGGCTTGCGTTTATCAGTTTTATGCATATGTTGATCACATTGTCCAGATTTATTCTCTGTTGTCCGATTCGAATTATTATGCAATGAAGTGAATCGGTTGTGCTGATTAGTGTTGTTCACATGTCAAGAGTAATCCATGTTAATTACTATGTACAAGAAGCTTATGAACTAAACCAGCTTAACTTTATCTTGTTCGAAGAATACAATGGAAGTCTTTGTGTTATAGGAGGATTCGAAAAGAAAAAGGCATTGGCATCCAACATGAGTTTTTAATTTTTATATTTCAAAATGAAACTAAGTTTGTTTTAAGGTATTGGGATTTGAGTTGATACCTATGATAGGTGCTTTTCAGGTAGTTGTATATTACAAGTATGGGATCATGGAGCTGCTCTTCACCCATGTAAATGTCCCCTTTGTAGACGTGAGATTACCTTGCTAGTTCCTGGTCAGGCTTCGTCTAGGCAGCATCATAGGGCTGATGTTGCTGAGATTTTGCAAAGGATTGAAAGATACAATCGTTTGTATGGCGAGCGTTCAAATGGTCTCATGCAGGTAATTAACTTATAAATTTGTAGATTGAGATGTTCGGTATCGTGGCAGATTTTATGCTTTGATTTTTTGATGTCCGTGTATTTCTTGTTGTTTTTATCTTTCAGCAGTCCATTCTCCTGAAGCTTTTACATTTATTCGTATCTTTTTTCTTCTGGAGTTATTGATTTCGAGTCGTTATTTATGGAGTTTTTAATTTACCATGACACACGGTGTTTAATTGAATCATTTATAAAGGTTATTTGGACAAAAGTTAGTGTGCTTGACCCATGTGGCTTGTGTGCTCATCAGGAACGTGTGAATGAATATGGATTTGATTTGGTTTCGACTTTCGATTGGTTTTTTTGTTAACCATAATTAATTTTGAAAAAAGTAGTATGATTAGTTGTTACTGGGATTTTGATTTTGAGTTAGTATTAAAATAATTAAAGTTGATTTGATTTGATGTAAAAGTATGAGATAGATTATGTGAAGTGATGATTAGTTAAAATTATATAAGTGAACGAATAGTGAATTAAAGTTGATATGATGTGTAACGATGATGATTAATATTATTTAATTATATGGATAATATTGAAGATAATGAGATTGAGTTAAATTTGAGTTTTGATTGTTTTTTTTTGGATTGAATGTATATTCAATCACACGCTTAGAACTTCATTCGTTAATGATTGATTATTATAGATTACTATGGTCTTTTTGGCAGAGAATGCAAGACCTTCCCTTTCTTCTCAAGAGATTATTACGTGATATCATGGATCCTCAAAGATCACTGCCATTTGTCATCAGGGCACGCGTTTATCTGGCAGTTAAGTTTTTTAACACCCTTATATAATACGAAGCAAGGAACTTCATCTTAAACGAACATACCTTTAACTATCTGTTTGTTTCTTCCAATGTACAGATGATGGTTAGTTTTATATATGTTATTAGCCCTGTGGACATCATCCCTGAAGGTATAAGTATAACCATTGTTTACTGTGATTGTTTATTGAAGATTTTTTCAATTTGAACAAGCCAATTTTTTTTTTTTTTTTCCTTGTCATAGCTTTGCTGGGTGTCTTTGGTCTGTTGGATGATGTGATCATTGTGTTCATATGCTTCCTGCATGTTGCTGCACTTTATCGAGCTGTTCTACTTTCACGCCATGGAGGAGGTACTTAGAGTTGAAATGGATGTTTTGCACAAACGAAAAAAGAGACGAAAAATGAACTATCATCTTAACTAAAAGAATAATATGGTTATGTCCTTCTGGATTTGTGGCAACCGAATTACAACAAGTGAAGGCCTGCTCATAATTTATCCTCTGTCTTTCTTTTTTGTCATTTTATTGATATTTTTTAGTTTCAACCCTGTACTGGATAGAAATTTGGATGAGAAATAAATTATTTTATTGTTGATGGCAAGTACTTGCGCCTCCATTCTTGGTCTTTTACGAGTGGATAATGAGAAAAGAGAGAAAGGCGAAGATAATAAGTGAAATATGACTATGTTTGGTAAAACTAGCTGATAAGTTAGCTTATAGCTTTTAAGTGAATTTCAAGCTTATAGTTGATAGCTTATGAATTATGGCTGAAAAACTAGCTTATATGATAAAAGTGTTGCGTAAAATTAGTTGATAAACTAGCTAAAATAATAATTTTAATGGACTTATTTGTAAAGCTACTCGAAGAAGCTTATGAGTTAAGCTTCAGATTTTTAAAAAAGTTGTTCATACCAAACAATGCTTATTTGAATACAAGAAGCTTATATCCTTACCAAACACAGCCTTTGGTAATGATTACGAAGAAAAACCCAATATTTCGGGAGTGGTGATTCCGATAATGATTATGAAGAAAGGTGATCGTAAGCAGCGTTATTAGGAAGTTTCAGACTTTGGGATTTTAAAATTATTTGAGTTAAATCTGGAGTTGTTACATGTTAACATTAACAAAATTGTTTTAAAGTTATTGAAAAAGAATGAGTGCACCAAAGTAGCAGCTGTCATCTTTACTTTTGTATGACTGAGAGATGCATAAATTTCGTATCCAATCACACCCTTCAAATGTATCATGCAGAATTTGGGGAACATCTCGTGAAGAATTGACAGGAATTAGGTTGCTAAAAGCTTTATTCATTGAATTTGGTTCGGTAAAGATTTTGTATCTCAGAAGTCAGAATGGAGAAATTATAGTGGTGTGGCACAGATCTGATACCATATGAGATCTGTAGAGTCACACAGATAAACGAGAGAACACAAGGAAGAAGAAGAAAAGTTGCTTGTATTGAAGAAAAGTTGCGTGTATTGAAAAATAGAATGAATGAATAATTAGGGTTTGTACATATCTGCCTATTTATACTATGATATAAAATGCTGAAGTTGCTTAATACGGAATAGCAACTTATGAATACAAATCACACTTATGACTAATTACAACTATGCCCTTATATACTAATAATATTTCATACTTGATAGCCAAAGATTCATGGGTTTCTTTACCACATTTGTTTTGCATGATTGGATAGGATTACCCCCATAATCATGGGGTAATCCTTCGTTTGGTATGCAAGACTAAAGCCCGCAGATAAAGTTCGGCCCGCGATAAAAAAGCCACTAATCTTGCATATTCACGACTATTTGATCTCATGTGAAAGGTGTGATAATTTCTATCCCTACAGTGCAACAGGTAGAATATGTCTAGATACGTAGCAAAATGGATGAATCAAAAAAGTCAAAACGACATCTAATTTGAATAGGAGGGAGTATATGTTATAGAACCTTCCCATTACTGCTCCTTTGGGACGAGGAGGCCGCCGCTATGGAAGAGCAGCTGAAGCACGAGCAAGCCTGAAAGCGTAATTTGGAGGTCCGACTCGAGACGTCAGCTACATCTGCATATAGTCTGAAATAATTGTTTCATGTTTTTCCTTTTTCTCTCGGGCATTATAATTGGTTCTTGTTAAAATTTGGGGGAAATTAATTGTGTTGCTTCTTTAGTACTCTCTCTTAAATGGTACCGTCGTAGATTTGACCGCGCCGCTGCCACGATCTCCATCTGCTCTCTTCCCATAATCGCTCCTCCACGATGAGGAGGCCGCCGCCAAGGAAGAGCAGATCTAGCATGATCAAGCGTGAATAAGAGACTGTCGCCGATATAGAGTTTGAGAGAGAGAGAGAGTGACAAAAGAGGCTACTGATTAGTATTAAAAGGAAAATAAAAGAAAAAAGAAAAAAAATTAGAAAAAAAAAAGGTAGGATTCTCGCACAAGAGTTTGGGAGGAAGAGGGCAATGGAGGTTTAGAGGGGTCGGTGGGTGAATTCACGGAGAGAGAGAAATACCTTTTCTTTAATATTAAAATATTAAAGGGGTATAATTGACTTCTTATGTTTTATCCTGTGAATTATCCCTATAAACAAATGCTATAGGAATTATAAAATTATCTTATCCAAATTACAATCATAAATAACAAACACAAGTTTAATTTAATCCACACAGTACAATCCACCCACTACGTATTAATTTAGTCTAATCCCATCTAGAAAAACAAACGAGCCCTTAATTTTTTATTTTTATCGTGTTTGGTCAACTTCAAACAACTTATCCAATCCGTTTTTTAAACGAGTCTACTAAAGTTTGTCCGCAAGCAACTCGCTCCTAATTTTTTGAAATAAAATTGTCCAGAAACATATCGTTTTTTTATTTTTAGATTTATTAAACGAGTTGAGTCGTCAGCTCGTTTATTAAATGAGTATGGGCTGGGAAATGAGCTACTTGGCTCGGTTAGAATAACACTCTTGTCTGCATGACTTGAATTATTGTATTAAGTCCAATTTGACAACAATTTTAATACTACATTAAAAATGGGATTTGGCAAAATAAAATCGTCTCGCCAAACCTATTCAAAACTTGTGCGGCTAAGATATGTGGTAGACTCGCGACTTTGGCTGCTGAAATAAAGAAGTTGGCAATGCTTTTCATTTAGAAATAAAAGTAAATCAAAATTGAAGTTATCAAGAAAATATATGATGGGTTTAGATAAATTGCAGGTGAAAATAAATTTGATGGGTTTATCAGATTCACCAAATACAAAGTCTGGGGAGAATAAAAGACAAATAGTTATTAGGTGTACCCTAACATTTCAAACCATGTTATTATAAGCTAACATTTATATGAATAATGCGTGAAAACCAACGAAGCTGTTTTTTAGATTACGACATTTCGATTGAAAAGTCTGTATATCTAGTGAATAATATGATTGTCTGTGCAAATTATAAAAATATTTAGTGAAAGTTAGCTTAGTCATCATTTTAATATCGTTTGGTATTCTCAACAAAGAAGTGATTTTTACGGGCATCTCTTCATCTTCTCCCTTGAACGGCCCAGATTGAGTTCTAACTATAATCAATCCTTAAACAGAATAAAATGAAAAGAAAATGCAATATTCGTTCCATATTCCGATACCAATAAATAGTAAAATGCATATATATGTGAGTTTGTAAAATTAAATAAAGCTTTGCTTACAGAGTAATTCCTCTTTTCCACAGGGCTTGTTCTTTGCACTAATTCTCTTCATAAGGTAATTGCATTTTATATTCAACACACATATTTTTTTTTTAACCAAAATTACGTGTTCAACAAACTACTTATTGTTTGCTTGTTTTATGTGCATATTTTATTTTTTTTTTCAGTTTTAGCTTTATTAAAATATTATGTAAGAAATTAGTTATTCATTTATCTTCACCTGGTTTGATAGTTATGTTACTTGTGATGTTGAGGATTAATGAGTCTGCAATTAATCTACACTGTTTTTCCTTTCTTTATATATGTGCAGCTAAAAATGCATGAAAATTTGAACATTCTTATTTGTGATAGTACCATGTTGTAAATGCATGAACTCTGTTTACTATATTGTTAGACCATGCTCGTATAGAAAAGATTTATCTTCATGAATAAAGAAAAAAAATAAGCAAAGTAGAGATGAATATGATGTTACGAATCGATGTCACATTGGGAATTTTTATATTAGTAATTATAGTTAAGAAAAAAAATCACAACTGCACAATGTAGTTCACGTTTTGTCGAAGATTTTGTGATTTTGGTTTGAAGCTAATTAGTGCTATTTTTCACACTCTAGTTGTCCGAAAAATGGGAGGAAGTTCGAATGAGGTTTACACCATTGTCTTACTTGGAAAGACGGGCAACGGGAAAAGCTCGACTGGGAATAGTATAATTGGGACAAAGGCATTTATGTCCAATGCTAAATTTGGTGGCGGCACCACCGCTTGTGAGCTACAAACGGTCAAGCTGGAAAATGGGCGAATTCTTAATATTATCGACACTCCCGGTATAAAACGTGCAAGAATTATAAAAAGATAAGTTTTTTTTTTCCTTATTTTATTACATTAATTTGTTGTGATTTTGTGTTGAAAAGGGCTGTGTGGCATTTCTGGTGGAGATGGGAAAATCGAGAAGGAAGTCGTGAAATGCATTAATATGGCAAAAGATGGTATCGATGCTGCTGTTCTTGTCCTTTCGGCAAGGTTCCGTTTTTCGCAAGAAGAAAAATATGCTATCGAGAGCTTGTTCGAAATGTTCGGTGGTAAAATTACTGATTACATGATTTTACTTTTTACCGTTGGTGATGACCTGGCGGAGAATGAAGAGACTCTGGATGAATACTTGGGTCGTGATTGTCCCGAGCCCTTGAAGGTAAATTATAGTTTGGAAAGTTTCGAAAAGACAAAATTTTGTTTTTGTATAAAGATGACAAATTGTTTGTCTGGCAGGAAGTACTCGAAAAGTGTGGAAATAGATGCGTTCTGTTTGATAACCGAACAAAAGATGAGTGCAAAAGACGAAAGCAACTTGAGGAACTTCTCGTTCGAGTTGATGAGGTCATGCGAAAAAATGGCAGGAAAACTTATACTAAGGAGATGTCTGTCGAACTCAAGGCGAGTGCTTTTTTTCAGTTTGATTATGCATTTGCTCTCTGCTTCTTCATAGAAATGTATATGTATTTTTTCAGTTCTTTGTTGTTTGTTGTTAAACAGAAGGAAATGAATCTGCGTACTAATCGTGTACCTGCTGATGCAAATTCATTTAAACATGAGGAGCAATCAGCAATTATGATGTATCAAGAGCAGCTTATGAGAATGACTAATATGGTGCTTTTTTCTCTATCCTTTTATCTTTTTGCCTATTGATTATATTTATTATAGTTTTTGTTCTTACAAAATGATATTTTTATTTTTATTTTGAAAAAATCATTATAATGCAGATCGAGTTGTCAAATATGACTGAGGTGATTCGTAAGCTCGAGCAGCAATTGGCCGAGGAGCGTGAGGCTCGGCTTAAGGCAGAGACTGCAGCTAAAGATGCTTACAACCGGTCGACCGAAGAACGTCGCGAAATGAGTGATGCTTTGCAGAAAGCTGATAGACTGCTTGAAAAGATTAGGACCGAAGCAAGAAAAAACAACACCTGCCCTATTTTGTAATCAGCAATTATATTATGATTTAAACATGTTTTGATTTGACTTCATTTGCATATTTATGATTGAAGTTTATGTTTTTGGGACAGTATGTTTGAGTATTATGTTTTGGGGACAGAAAATTAATGATATTTGCAGCAAATTTTTATAGTTTAAGTTTGTATTGTGTTGAAGTTTTATGTTATTTTTTCTTAAAATAAGACAAATGTCACTATGTAAGAATGGTTGGTTATGTCATTAGTCATTACCCCTGTTTAATATGCATACTCACAAATATTGTGAAAAGGATAGTTGAAAATCTGGTTTTTTCTATCTGTGGAAGTGAAAGACTATTCTATCCGACAATGATCAACAAAACGAGCTTAATTTTTCATTCGAGTTTAGCTCGATTATCAAACGAACAGGTGACTCGATTACTAAATGAAATATAGTAACCTTCTTCAAGCTCGAACGAGATTTTACTATGAACTAGTCAAAGGGTAAGGTCTAGTTTGTATTGTCTTCTTTGTCAAAATCAACTCTTTCCAATAACCCAATTTCTACTTAAGCTTGTGAACACTTACATGAACCCTGTAAAACAAACAAAGGATTAAATGAAAAGTCTAATGACATCCATATTTTTTTTTTATGCTGTATTATGATGTAAATCTGTCATCATTATAACATCTTTTGGTATTCTCAAGAAAATAGTCATCTATAATTATCAGCATCTATTCATCTTCTTCTCCAGATTCAGTCCTTAGTATCATCATTATTGTTGTTTAAGAATAATATTAAAAGAAAACAACCTTCATTTCATATTCCACTATAAAAAGCTCACTCTCAGATTCAGTCCCTATTAGTATCATTAATTGTTGTTTAAGAAAAATACCTTATTTTCATATTCAACTAAAAACTCACCATATATATATATATATGTCGAAATAAATTAACTTGATTGAAGAGTAACTCCTCTCTTTAGAAGGCTGCACATCACATTCAAGTAGGTATTGCCAATCTGTTTTCTTGTTTTTATGTGTATGTATTTTGATGCTTATGTTACATCTCATACTGATGATTAGATATTCTGCAATTTATATCTGTATTTTTTGTTAACTTTCACATTTTTGTTCTAGTGGCTGAATGCTTATGCACAATATAATGCACTACACTTTTGTTTAATATGAAATAATATTTTGATGTTAATTAGTGCTATATTCCACATTTTTTAGTTTGAAAAAAAAAATGGGAGGAGATGATGCAATTTACTTAGATTGGGAGTTCCCAGCAACTCGAAATGAGACTCGAACAATTGTTTTAGTCGGCAAAACCGGCAATGGAAAAAGCTCGACTGGAAACACCTTATTGGGGAGAAAGGCATTTTCTTCCAAGACTAGTTCAGGCAGTGTTACTGCCACGTGTCAGCTTCAGACAACCGTGCTCGAAAATGGGTCTATACTTAATGTTATAGACACTCCTGGTATGCATATAAAGAATCTAATATTGGCTCTTGCATTTTTCTGACTTATGATTAGTTTTACTTTAACCAACTCAAATTTTTTCTCCAAGGATTATTTGATTTTTCGGGTGGAGAAGATGAAGTTGGGAAGGAAATTGTGAAATGCATCGACATGGCGAATAATGGTATCCATGCTGTCCTGTTTGTCCTGTCAGTTAGGTCTCGTTTTTCGCGAGAGGAGAAAGCTGCTATTGAGAGCATGATTGAAATCTTCGGTGCAAAAATTACCGATTACATGATTTTAGTTTTTACCGGTGGTGATGACCTGGCAGAGAATGAAGAGACTCTCGATGATTACTTGGGTCACCATTGTCCTGAGCCTTTGAAGGTAAATTATAAATACTTACTGTGGTAAATCATTTCGTGATTTGTTTTGTTTTGTTTTGTGTTGTGTTGATTAAATGTGGTATTTTTGCGTAGGAAATTATCGAAAAATGTGGACATAGGTGTGTTTTATTTGATAACCGGACAAAAGATTTGGTCAAGAGGCTCGAACAAGTTGAGGAACTTATGGCTCGAGTTGATGATGTTGTGAAGTACAATGGAGAAAAACCGTATACGAACAAACTTTTTCAACTGCAGGCGAGTTTTTTTTCTTTTATTTTTTCAGGCCGCGTTGTTTATAAATAGATACACACATCGATATTAGTGATGATATGAAGTGTTTACTCTTTTAACAGAAGGAAGCAGAAAAAATGCGTGTGCAAGAAGCCGCTGAAGGCTCATCCAAACTTCAGGAGCAAATTAAGATATATGAAGAGAAGATTAAGCAAATGGCAGATATGGTGCTTTTATCTTCTTTTATGATATTGCAGTAATAATATAATATGTAAAGGGATTAATGGTGAAAACTATCTATCTGACAGAAAAATTATCTTGAATAAATTTGTGACCTTTTTTTCTTTCTTTTTTGGAATATCTTTATTTAGATTGAGTTGAAACTCAGAAAGGCGACTGAGAAGCTCGTGCAGCAACTGGCTGAGGAGCACGCGGCTCGTCTCAAGGCAGAAGAAGATGCTAAAGCCTCTCGTAATCGTTTGACTGAAGAAATTCGTAAGATGAAGGAAGATTTGCATAATGCTGAAAGAGAGATAGGTGAGAGGATAGAAGCAGCAAAATTTCGATGCATTATTATGTGAGCTGCCTTAATTTGCATTATTATGCTGATTTATGTTCAAGATTCTGAATTATGTTAACGGAGTCATTTAGCTTGCTTTTTCTTTTTCATGTTTATGGAGATCAGGCAATCATCTTTTTTTCTTATAATGTTGTCTGCTTAGGTGGTAAAAAGTGCAAGCTTTAGCATAATCGAATACGTATAGAGATCACACAATTGGAGTAATTAATTAACAATGTCGCTAAAAAGAGGCACGATTGTCATAATCGAACGAAACAAAAAGCCGGTAAAATAGTAACGATTATCTTGACATGGCATCTCTTGATTCTGCATGAAAAACCAGAAAAGGTTGGAAATTTGGTTTTAGTTATATATATATGACATTTAAATGAAAAACACAAGATTTTTGCAAAATGGTTTTAGCTTCAAGAAATGGAAGTAAAAAAAAAAAAAAAAAAAAAAGAAAAAGAAATGGATACCCGATATAGAGATTCTTTTTTTCAGGGATGGGATATTGTGGCAGTCTCCATCATATTGAGCTGAAGCACATTACGGGCGAAATAAGCCTGCAAAGCAAAGTCCTGTCCAGAAGGCATCATGCTAAGTTCTTGAAGCTTTTCGTTTTCTTGAATCTGGAAAAATCAGCAATTTTCAATGTGATATACAATAAGCCGGTGTAAAAATCGAAACAAATAAGCAGAGAGCTATTTGCTGAGTATCTGTTAAAATAATTTTACCTTAGCTCTGAGGCAAGCATTTTCCTGCTCCAGCTGAATCTCCTGCAGGAGAGGAAAAATGTCGAAAAAATTACTAGAGCTGTCACGGTTTTTTGTCGTGGTGCAAGAAATTAAAAAAACAAAAAGAAATGATCAAGATTTAACATTTGATAAAAAAATGTACCCTTTTCTGCAAATTCTCAGTCTCAGCAAGTATCATTTCATGCTGTTCAATAGAAAATAAATAAATAAATAAAAGGGATGGCACGGTGAGTTATTAGAGTAAGTCGAAGGAAAATTGATCGGGCGCGGTGTTTATTTACCTTCTTGCCCCTGATTCTTGTGATGCTTCTTTCGAGACGGCTTTCGACTTGTTTCAGTTCTTTGACATTGAGAGAACTCAGCCCTTCACCCATAAGATGCCTGTGGATGTGAAAAAGAGTGTACAGTATATATATATATATGATTAGTGATATTTTCATAATCCAACAATTTTTTTTCCCTTTTTCTGTGCATGAGTGAAGTTTTTATTACATCATATGACTTCTATTGTTTATGTTTTCCCTAACCAAGCTTAAAATAATAAAATTCGTATCTTAAAACAAATTTTCAACTTTGCTTGTTTTAAATAGTTTTGAAATTAAACACACAAACCTACCAAAAGCATACAAAATGTGATCTCTTATTATGAACTATAATAAGTGTTTACCTGTTGGAGTTTTGGAGCATTTGTATTTGCTGACGTAGTTTCTTGGACTCTTGTTGGTAAAACTGCATTCATTCCAAAGATTAAAAATTTTGGATAAAAAGAAAAAGATATTTAATAGGATTTTGCTGTTTAGCTTATTTTTTTCTGACCAAAACACAGTTTCTTATGATACATGAGAAATTGCAAAAATGTACAATCAATTAGACATCATGTATAGCTTACTTGAGCATTGATTTCTTGAGTTGCGTAGACACTTGAACTATCTGCAGTTGCTTTTTTGTACCTTTCTATGGTTGATCTAATGCTGTACACATAAAGAGTATACTGATAAAAATACTAATAATTAATAGATGATAAATAACTTCAAACACACCAAAAATATATTTGTGGGATAAAACTATTAATTTAGTCATACAATATTTATTTATAAGATCTCATACTTTAGAATTGTAAAGTGTCCCTTGAAGTTTGTACTTTGTTTCACAAATCAGTGCCCTTCAATGGAGCTCAATTTTGTAGCAATTTGTAAAATAAAAACATGTCAAAGGAGTGTTATTTTACTTTTCTGCTGGTGAATTAGTTATACATTTAATTAACAACTTTCTGTTAAAATATCAACAGCTCCTTTTGAGAAGGACCGGGAAGCATCTAGAACAATCCGGAAAAATGTGGAACGTCGTAGAACATTGTGGAAGGTTCCAGAAGCATCTAAAACGACCCAAAAAAATGTTAAGATTTCAGAATATTGTAGAAGGATCTAGAAGCTTGAGGAAGCTAGTTGAAGGATGTAGAAGATTCTAGAAGGCAATAGAGATTACTAGAATGTCCTAGAAAATTGTAGGAACTAGACTTATATGGATGAGTTTAGAACATTGTACATAATATTAGTAAATTTTAGAATAGTCTAAAAGGGGCAAGAGTGTTAGGGAAACCTCATGAGTGTAGCTAGTTCTAGATAGTTCATTGGAGGGAGGGTTGTCTATAGGCAAGACCACCCCATTTGCAAACTATCCCCAATAATCCAAGCATCCAAGAGTCAAAGTAAAAGAGTGAGTGTTATTGTCATTGTAAGAGTGGGAGTGTGTGTTATAATTAAATAATTATGGTGTGTTTTGGTCTTAGTAAGTGAACTATTTATTTTGGTGATAGGGTATATAAAAAAAATATAGAACCAATCAAAGGTTTGCAACAGTTTTCAATCAAGTAAAATACCTAAAATTTAATTAATTTGTATTTTTCCTAATTTTCCTGAATAGAATCTTGAAAGCCAAAAATGGAAATTAAAAACATGAAATGAAGGGTTGCAGGCTTGGAAGTTGGATCTGATAAAAGCTATTACATCTGACCATGTAAAAATAAATTACATATATTATATATCTAAAGAATATTCAAAGCTGAATTTGGAAATAAAATTTATTTAAGCAATGAAATTAAATTAGCTTCAAATTGGTAATTTGAAGGCACATATTGTCTTTTCCCTGAATTATTTAAGCAATGAAATTAACACCTTTTTTTCTTAATTCTTTTTCTTATTCTATTTTCAAATGTATACACTAAGGGCATGTTTATCAATTATTTCACTCATTTTTAATTCATACTCAAAATCCTACTCAATTTTAACTCAACCTCACTATTTTTAATATTATTCATATAATTAATAAATACAACCAAATCATTCTTACACATCACATCAACTTTAATTCACTATTCATCCACTCATATAAGTTTAACTACCTATCATTCTCAATCATTTTCAATCATTTATCTCATACTTTTACATCAAATCAATTTAATCATTTTATTTTAAATATTATTTTAATACATTTTTAAAATTTCACTAACAACTAATCATTCCACCTTTTTCAAAATTAACTTTGGTTAACCAAAATAATTCATTTTGGACGAATTATTTTGTAAGCAAGCGAGTCCTAATGGATATGGTGTAGACATAAAGCCCTAGAGACATAGTTTAGTAGCCAGACGTTTCCCTTTTTTTCTTTCATTTTTCTATCCCCTTTTGCATACGCTATAGATTATAAAGGCAAAACAATTCATACCTTTATCTTTCTGCCTAGAACAAAAAACATGAACTAAAAACAAAATTGAGAGCTTTATAATGCTAGAATAAGAAAGCATTGGAGTACTAAACTGTGAGTCTCAAACAACATAAATGTGAAAGAATCAAAAGGTGACTGATTTTTCCTCTGCAGGGTCAAATTATTGTGTCTGGAAAGTGGCATATACATATGTAATTAATATGTTGGATGATAAAACAATTTCTGATGTGATAAAGAGAAGGTATCTATGGTATTATTCCTATCTGGTTATCATATATCATGTCATTTCCAGCTAGCTAGACAGTTTTGTAATCACCTTATATATAAATAAAACTTTTCATATGTATAACTAGTCCAGGTATCCTTTTTTTAAAAAAAAAAAAAAATTCACTTGTTTAATTTAACAGTATAACCAATCTTAATTCATTAGGTGGAATTGGAATAGTTCATTAATTAATCTCCTAAAACACAATCTTTTTTGCATAAATTTTGATTCTGAAAAAGATCAAAAATATGAACTGAAATATAATTCTTGAATATTTAGTAGATATCAAAAGTTCATTAAAATATGAACTGAAATATAATTCTTGAATATTTAGTAGATATCAAAAGTTCATTGCATTTAGTGATCTATATACATGATGCTCATGATTAATTGATTAGTGAAAATTATATAAGAAAGAACGGCAGTGAACATTTACTTGCAGTTGGCATACTCAGAGACGCGGCCACGGCTCGAAAACACGATTAATGCCACCTCAGCATCACAGAGAATCGAAAGCTCGTAAGCTTTCTTCAAAAGCCCGTTTCGGCGTTTGCAGAAGGTAACCTGTCGGTTGGTGTTATTTTCGATCCTCTTGATCTCGATCTTTCCCCTTCCCATTTTCGAAAACCCTACTGAAAACATTAATGGAAACAAATACTTGTTTCAAGTGAAAAAAAAAGGTGAAACCTTTGTCCTAGAGAAATTTAAGACACAGCTTACTTGGGTTTTTTGTGTTAGTGAAAAAAAGGACATAAAATTGCTTGATTAGTAGATCTTGACATCATTTTTTTGGCATACAACATTTTTTTGTTTTTTTTGGGATTTAATTTCTTTTGCAGGGATGTAGGAAAGAAGATTGTACTTAGAAGGAAAAAGATACATTTCAAAAAGTTCATATTTTTAGAGTTGATAACAAAGACTCCCCATTGAAAAGTTTTAGATTCAATTGAGATAGCTAATTAAGAACACAATTTCATACTAGAAAAAGAATGATGCACTTGTATGAGTTGAAAAGAACAACATATGTTCATCAAACACAGAAAAGTGTTAGCATAATATAACTAAACTCAAGAATTAGAGACACTTCTTGAATCTTTGACAAGAAGAAAATGAGAGAAAATTAAAGAGAAAAAGTTTATAAAATACATGAAACAGAAGAGGGGTTTGCAAAGTCGTAAACAGACAACAACAACAACAAATTAATTAAGGATTTATTTAGCCTAGAGAGAATTTAGCTAAGACTAAAAACATGGCTCAAAATCCATCAAAATGGATGGATTTTTCAAGAACAAATGATCTGACGGCAACCACACAAACACACAAAAGCAAGTGATAAAAAAATGATAAAGATCCAAACTTTGAACCATTTTAAGTTCTTGAGAGAGAGGTACTATGCTGTCCGAAAAGAAGAAAACCATGAAAATGAAAAATATATGATTTCATCAAAGTAAAATTTGAGCCTAGACAGAAATTAGCTAAGACTAAAAACATGGTTCATGGCCGGCTCAGATGGATTTTTCAAGAACAAGTGATCTGATAGCAACCCATATACACACAAAAGCTAGGTGATCATAAAAGCATTATAAAGATTCAATCTTTTAACCGTTTTTAGTTTTTGGGGGAGAGGTACTGTACTGTACTATCCTAGAAAAGAAGAAAAAATTAACCATGAAAAAAGGATATCCCAAGAAAACAAACAAACAAACAAACAAAAAGAAATCTTCATTACAAGAGAGCAAGAAAATTTATGACAACATTTAAAACCAGATCTATATCCCTCATCAACACACACACACACATGTAAGAAAGAAAGAAAGGCATTTGGAATTGTGCCCAAATGCATGGAGATATCTACAAATAAAAGAAACACAAACTTAAAAAATAAAAAAAATAAAAAAAAAATAAAAAAAAAATGGAACAGCCCCATATTTCCTTCCTTTTGCTATTTTACTACACTTCACCCCCCTTATTAATTATGACGCTCGTCACCTATAAGACACGCACACGAACCTGAGATTTAATTAGCTTCTTCGGAAAATATTGCTATTTTCCGGCCGAGCAGAAAAATCGCTTTTCCGAAAAACCTACACGAATCCCAAACAAACAAACCCTTCAAAACTTATTTCTTTTTTTTTTTTTTTCCTTCAAGAAT